GGAAGGAAGGAAGGAAGGAAGGAAGGAAGGAAGGAAGGAAGGAAGGAAGGAAGGAAGGAAGGATGGATTTAGATCCCCCCCCCCATTCTTTTCCATTACTTCTCTGGATGTATTCTGAACTTATTAGTAATTTTAAAAATGGGTTTTTTTATAAAGTTAACAACAATCATGATTATTGCCCAAACCTCAATTTAAACTTTTTTTGAAAGAATAGGGGAGCTCCTTCGGATCTAGCACCACACCTGGCATGTCTCTAGCTAGGCCTGATCCGGAGCAGGTTGGCTGCAACTGCAAGGCTGGGAAAAGACCACCTGCCTGCTGTCCAGTGCAAAGGGCATCATCCCGGGAGCTCTCGCTCAGCCCATGCTGCAGTGGCACCAAGTGACTGTTGCAGCTGCAATTAAGCTGAGCTGGCAAGCTCGCGCAGGGCTTCTTACAAATCACAAGCCTGGAGTTTTATAGTGCCTAAATTTAGAATTCTTGTTGTTTTGGGGTACCTAAATTTGTGTGCGCTCAACTTTGCACATGGGTTTGACAAGTAGTGTCACTGTGTGTGTGGGTTTGACAAGTAGTGCACATACTCTTAGAGGGAACATAAGCCACATCTTTTTGGCCATACACTAAAGACATCCCTCCTTGAAAGTTTTCACTAGCATATCTTAAAGGCACCAAAGTAAGTTGAGTTGTTTTCTGAAAAGGCAAATATATATCTGAATTTATTAAGGATTGAAATCAAGATTCCTTACAAAAAATGGAAAATGCTACAATCTTATGCATAAATGACTTGGGAATAAGTCATATTTAAACAAATGAAATCATCTTCTGAGTAAGCGTGTATAGTATGTCATGTCTGTGTGTGTGCCTTTGAATGAGCCTTGACTCTCGCCTGGAGAAGTCCCTGCAGTTTTTTTGGCAAGATTTTGGAAGTGGTTTGCCCTTGCCTCCTTCCTAGGGCTAAGAAGGAGTGACTGGCACAAGTCACCCAGCTGGCTTCATGTTTAAGGCGGGACTACAACTCATGGCCTCCTAAGCTTGATGCCTTAACCCCTACACCAAACTGGCTCTCATAGTCTTTCATGCTCAGCAAAATTACATGTCATAGCCTTTGTTTTCTAGCTTGCCTCCCACTGGTTTTATTCACAACACAGAGAACATTCAGGGTTTGTGTCCACCACAAACCAGCCCACCACCTCATCAGAGATTGATATGACAACAAGCTTGGAGGCAGAAATGTTTGCCTCACATTATTCCCATAGGCGATGTGTGCAAGTCCTTTTTTGGCCATGCTAACACTCAACATCTGCACCTATTCAGACACACTCATTCATATATGTACACAACACGTTCACATGGAACATACATGAGTACATATGCCTCCAGGCCTGAAAACATTTCCTTCTAGATTAGACTTAGAAGATCATTAGAAAGATCCTCCAATAGCACCAGTGAAGAGTGTAGCTTATCATAAAAGTCTCAGGCAGAAAGTGTGTGAGAAGAATGAAAATTTCTGTCTGTCCTTCCCTCTCTACTTATGTTTTCTTTAATAATAATACTTAAAAGGTAGGAGAATATTAGAAAAGAAAGTCAGGTATGTGTGTCTGTACAAGAGAGTCCTTATTTCAAGCTCATCTCTTAAATAACTTTAGTTTCTTCTGTATTATTTCAGCTCAGAGAGAAGACTAGAAATGTTTATCTTTTAGAACAATGTAACAATGTACATAAAGTTTGGAGAGAAGACAATTTCATTACAAGAAAGTGGACTACATACTGTATTTTGACACTGAAGATTGAAGTTCTACTCTTTTGACCATTTTTATAAAGAAGAACTTGTGTGAATTTTATTTTGAAGTTAAGCCTGATCTTCAGACAAGTATAGCTCTCTAACTTTTTATGAACTAGTATTAAAATTGTGAAAGAAGAAAGCCAAAAAAGAAACAGTAGTAATTAACTGGCTTCTCTGAAGGAAGCCCCATCTGTGCTGCCCAAAACAACTTCAGCTTTACATGAAAAGCAGTAAACTCGTTCAGATGAAGTGAATATATTTTAGTTCCCTGCTAAGCAGGCAGTAAACTGCTTCTGTAAAGAAGTGAACTCATCCTGTTTTGTAATTCAGTCCTTGTACTGTTATTTGTAGATGCTTAAATACATGTCTTGAAAGAATTGGAAACAGTTCCAGGCTAATCATTGGTGAAACTATGAATGAATGAATGAATGGGGATAATGTTTCATTCATGAAAGTGAGGAGCTAGTTGCAGTTAGATTGGTTCTTTTCCATAGTACGTATTAAATTGACTTGTTTGCTAACCATGAGGAAAGTGAGATAGTAAAGTTTGGAACACTTCCCAAACTTTCACTCCATTCTGAAATTTCAGTGAAGCTTGTCTACAGCACGGCCAGGGAAACATAAAAGGCACAATACTTAAAATGTAATGCACTTCAATTCCTGGATGAAGAGAAGTCAGTATTATCAGCATAAAGGAGAACCAAAGTAAACGCTAATTGAAAAAGGAAACAAAATTATTTAAAACTATTAAAACTGTAATGGAAACTTGAAAAAATGTGGGAAATATATTAAGAAAGCACAAGCAGCAGATGGAAATGGATCTCTTGGATTAAATGGTTTTAGAAGAGTTGCTTGTAAATTAAGAAGCAAAGAAACTGACTGCACATAACAAAATTGTTGATCAAGCAGTAAATAAAGATTACACAGGGATATTAAGAGACATGCATATACACCCATCTTCCCCAGCTGTTATTTTAAGATGGAAAGAAGAAGGAGCACAGAGAGAAAACATCAACTCTCCAGAAAGTGATCTTGATATTCAGGAAGTATCAAAAGGTGAGAAGGTAGTTTTTCACTTATTCACCAAATTATAACCAAACTTTTTAGTGATCTGTTTCTTCTATTAAAAATCAATACTGTCTTAAATATGATAAACTGCTTTGCTTTTATTTGAATTTTAACACAAATATTGTTTATTATTGGTCTTGTTTTGATTATTTATGCATTAACTATCTTCCATATAAAGCACAGAGACTAATTTTTCTCCAACCTTTTTCTTAATTTTGATCAATTCAGTATATATTAAAAACACTTAAATAGATAACATCAGATTATCATGTGAAGATGCAAAATTCTTTGCATTGACGCAGATATACTAGTGCATGAAAAAACCAAACCTCTAACTCAATTAAATTGGAATAAAAATCAGACAAGCTTAAGCCCAAGACCCACATTTTACAGTTGTGACTCTCCACTCTCAGTAGGACTTGCTTCTAATGTAAATTGGAAGCTATGCAATCTAGTTCCCTCCATTCCTATTTATAAATAAGTTCCACAGATTTAATAGGGCTTATTTCCTAGAAGGGTCTTACCTAAAGAACTGTAGTAACAGTGTAGTATAGTTTGCATGGAAATACCACTACACTTCTATTGGGTTAAAAAGGGTCAAGAAATAGCATTGTGATTCAGACTATGGTTTGCATTCTTCATAAAAACTTAGAACCCTTAGAAATTTCTAGAGATAATTTCAATGTTAAAGACCACCTAATTTTTTCATTTAGGCTATGATTGTAAGCACATTGACATGGAAGAAAATTCTACTGACAGCAATAGTTTTATTTCCAAGTAACTGTAGTTAGAATGCATTATAAATTTAATTTCATTGGTGGTTTCTTTTCCATAATTCTAACATCCACTTGGGGGCGCTCCAGTCAAGAATGAGGTGGAACCATCATTATTCATATTTATATTATCTCTTTTTATAAAATTTAGGAAGGTTGCTCAAAGTGGCAGCTGCTCAGGATACAAACTGGGTCATCCTCTCTTTGATGGCTTTCCATTCTGTTCTCCCTCAAGATTTCAGTTTTCCAACTAAAACTTAACATTCCCAGGCCTGGTGAATCTTCATCAGAATTGCTTTCTAGATGTTAATATTAGTATTATTTGTATAGAATTTCTGTAAATCTTAGAGTTTTCACACACAT